CGCTGAATCTCCCCCATGCCCCTCACTGCAAACAGCGGAAAACTAACCTGGTAGCATCCCCAGCCAGCCTCAGGTCAGCTTCTCCTCCCAGCCTGGGGAAGGTGCCAGTGCCTCCAAGGTGCCCAAGCCAGAAGTCAGAGAATGAAGCTGAGATGAAGCCGTTAGGCAGTCTGAGCGTGGGCCCTTTACGTGCTGCTGCAGACCCCCATGCAGGCACATGTGAGGAGCACCAGGAAAGCTGGAGATTCCCTATCACCAGTTGTTCACTCAGAGCTCAGCCCTCCCCACAGCTGTGGGGTAGGCTTGGTCTGAAACAGCATATGAAACCTCCAGCCTAAGGACTGGAGGTGGCCACTGAATCTAGGTGTAGGAAATCTCTGACCACACTTGGACCATCCTTTCCCCTCTCAAAAGGAGAAGTAAGAATGACTCTGGGTCTAACTACACTCTGTGCAAGTCACCTTTTGCTGCAAGACCACCTTCCAGGGAAATAGCAGTTCCTTCAGTTCACCTTGGATCCCCAGCCAAGAGAGGAAGAAACCGTGGGCAGTTCTCAGGACCCTTCCCAACCCACTGCACATATGTCTGGTGGATCTCATAGGAGGAGAGATCCCAAGGAGAGATAAGAAAAAGCCCATAGCTAATATCAACTGGGAATGGTCACTGTGTTTCGGGAGAAAGGCCTGTCCTCTGCTGTAATTTCAACAGGCTGGAGGAACGGGCTAGAAACAAAGCTAAGCACAGGAGAGGTGATTCTTCTTCACCACTTAGTGCTGCTGAAGACTCATCTCTGTACTGCATCCAGTACAAACTGGAGAGAGTCCAGCAGTGACCACCAAGGTGTTGAAGAGGCTGTGGCACGGGGCATATGAAGAGACACTGAAGGAACTGGGCTTCTCCAGCATGGAGAAGAGACAACTGGAGAGTTCTCACAGGGGTCACCCACTTCCTGATTGGTGGTCGCGGAAAAAACAGAGCCAGGACAGGACATGGGGCAATAGATACATGCTGCAAGACAGGACAGTCCAGCTGGGCATGAAAAAATTCCTGCATTGAGGGTGGTGCAACTCAGAGAGCAGATCTCTGTCCTTGGAGGTATGCAGAATTTGACACGGCCCAACACCACCTGATCCAGCTTTGGACTAGGGGGGTGGACCAGAGACCTACAGAGATGCCTTCCTACCAAAGACCTCCTGGCAATTCTGTGTTACAGTGGGAAGGAGAGAATATTTCTGCCTGCCATTGGAGGCTTTTGTCTTCCCCGTGCTGTAACACACCCCCAGTGTCCAGGACAGACCTGAGACACTATGTGCCTCTCCCTCACCAGGCCTGGGCTGCTTTCCTCCTCATGCAGCGTTAACATGGCAGTGAGGATTTTTGGTGTGGTTTTTTTCATGGCCTGGCAAAGGCTGGAAGGTGTGTGTCCCAGCAGGCTGGCCTGGAAAAAAGGTCTGAAAACATGGAGCTGAGACGGAGCTGGCACCACTGTACTTGCACAGTGCTGTGCAGTCCCAGCTGGCCCAGGAAAGAACACAGCTGCTGCCACTCTGAGACCTCTGACATGCACTTGGTGATCCTCTCTGCTACCTCTTTGAGAAGTATTTGTGTTTGTAAGTCTACAGTTTTACTGATGCAGAGCGGGGACTGAGCAGCCAGGGGAATGAGACAAGGGCGGAAAATGACTGCAGGCATGTAATAAAGTATTCAGCTTGTCCAGCTGAAAGAGATTTCTGCCAAGCGATTTTATAAGGAATGAGGCATTTTGCAGGAAAAGCAGGGCCTCTCCCCTCATTTCCTTTCCCTTCTTCTCTGTGAACTTCAAAGAAAAGAGGGGTCAAAACAGAGGCCAGGCAACTGGAACTGAGTTCCTGAGCCCTAAAGCCTAATTAGCACAAGATACATTTCATTGGGTATCTTTCAGAGACTGGCCTAAATTGCCAGCCTCCCTGCTGTGCTGCTGAGGGTCGGATAAAGTCGGAGTGTGGTCCTCAGTTTGCAGAGCCCCAGCAGCACCAGAGCTCTTGTAAGGGAAGGTGTGGGGGTGAGTCTCTGCCCTAGTCCCACTTGTGACAAGGCCCTCCCAGCCCCCACAGGCTTTGCGTGGCCACAGCTAATGCCGCTTCTCCAGGACAGGGATCATCCCACCTCCCTGGTGCGTGGTCCCAGGGCTGATAGTGACCCCACAGCTGTGTGGCTGCTGCCACTTGTTGCTTCAGCTGAGGCTACCAGAGAGCCTTCAGCCATTTGGAACTGCCCTTCCAGCAGTTCTACACTGATGTTAAACCCCCTCCTGCCACCTCTGCCTGCATGCCACGTGCCCCGTGCTCTTTCGTACCTTGCAGTTGTTTGCTAGTCCCCCTCCAGCTTCTCCACATCCTTCCCAGACGGATGTCCAGAAAAATGGATAGTAATGTCGCTTTATCTGTGTCTCCTCACATGGACCAGCATGTGGTCTGCCTCACCCTCAATGATAAACAAAGTCAGTTTTGCACAGGTTTAACAACTCTCTGGTACCACACCCCGATGTCAAATCCCAAGTGATTTGCAGGAGGGGAGTGCAGGAAACCGATTACTTTTGAACTAGGAGGAATCTGAAAAATATCTTATTAAATATTTTATTAGATTTTCTGCAAGAGAAGAGAGAAAAGGTAAACTTATTTCCTTAAAAATTGGAAGTTTTGATTCCAAGGCACTTGCTCAGCTTCCATTTAAAGAGTGGGTCTGGGACTGATGACACCTGGATTCAGCTCCAGCGTACTGCAGATCTCTGTGCTGCCTAACTGCAGCAAGACTGTTTATCTCTCTTTGCATCCATTTCCCAGTGGAGCCAAAATATAAAATGGAAACCCTTCCTTCCCTTATGTAATGCTCTGCTAGAGCTGGCATCCTGTGAGTGTTGGCTGGAAGCATCTCTGGAGGTCTCCAGACATTGGACTGCTGCCAGCACCAGATGAGATTGGCCGTAGCTGTGTCTAGCCGCAAAGTTGAAGTCTGCTTCTCATGTGCTTGCACAGCACTTGGATGGAGTTCATGGAGAGCACACGAAGGTCTGCCTGGGGTGTCCATCTCCCTCTCTGCACCTCTTTGTGAAGGAAGGCCAGAGGGGGTATATAAACCAACATCTGTCCAGTTTGTTAGCATCTTCACCTCTCAAAAAAATACCATCCTGGGGACTGGGATGGTTCAGGACCAGGTAGCCTGACTGTTCGTTTTTTTCCTGATAGAGGCCAGTAACACTGCAGGGAGGGCAGGCAAGAGAGCACCAGCTGAATTTACTGAGGAATTGCGCCAGATTCCTGTGTGCTGCCAGCACAAAAATAGCTGCCATCTTTGGATTTTATTGCTTCGCTTTGTTACAGTCTGGATCAGACTTGTTTTCAGAACAACCTTCAACCCACATAAATAACACCTGTCATTGAAAACAAATTTGCCTGGAATAACTTAACCAGTACTTTCCTGCAGCAATCCCTGCACCTCTGTACGGGCAGTTAAACAAACCAGCTGGGATCACGCAGAGGGAACAACAGCATGCGAAATGTTAGCCGTGTGCCTCACTCACTATTTTTTTCAGCTCCACACTATTGGATTACTTTCTTAAGCACTCTGGGGGACAGAGACAGTGAAGAACAGCTTTCCTTGGCAAAGGGAGGCAGTTTCTCACACACGGCTCTGTTTTCCATGGCTCATCCAGCAAAATGTACACGCCTAAAAAAAACCAGCAAGAAACAGGCCTGTCCAAGAGGGGCCGAGTGCTGAGGATTTCACACCCCCACGCCCTGGCAGCCTAGCACTGGTACAGGGCATTTTCTGGGAGCAGGTGACACGTGTGCTGTGCCTGAAAAATCCTTGGCACTGTCCGAGGACCAAGGAGCTTCAAGACTTCTGGCCTTGGTCAGAGTCCAGGCAGCACAGATGGACTGCCACAGCCATCCTGTGTGAGTTTAAGGACAGCTGCCTTCTCATGCCCACCCCTGTGCCACTGGAGGGCTATGCCTGGTAGAGCAGTATTTTTATAATTCTCAGTCCACAAATAAAGGAAGCAAGTCATGCTATTAATTTCCTCACTCGTGAGATGTTACTTCGTGTACTGTCATTCTTTCACACATGACCACACTCCTGAAATGCAGAGCTCACAATGGCTTATTGAGCCTTGCAAGCTGCGAGTAACACCCCTGACTTGCACCTGCAAACCTGCACGGGCAAAGAAGCAGGAGGGCAAGGAACTGTTTTGTGTCCATGCCGGGATGCGTAACCTGCAGCCTGTCCTGTCAGTGTCACCATAGGGAATCTTCCGTGATCCTGATGGACAAAAGACAGTGGGTGGAAGCACAGAATCAATTAGGCTGGAACAGACCTCTGAGATCTCCCAGCCTACAACTGAACACCACCACGTCCACAAAACCACGGCGCTAAGTCCAATCTTTCCTTAAACACCTCCAAGGATTGTGACTCCACCACCTCCTTGGGCATCCATCTCAATGTCTGATCACCTTTTCTGTGAAGAAATTTATCCTGATGTCCAAACTAAACCTCCCCTGATGCAGCCTGGGGCTCTGTCCTCTCATCATGTCACTGGTTACCCCTGGGAGAAGAGACTGACCCCCTCCTGGCTACAACCTCCTCACAGGTAGTTGTAGAGAGTGACAAGGTCATCCCCGGGAAGTTTTTCTCACACCTGCCTCAGCTGCTCCTCAAAGGATTTATGCTCCAGACCCTTCCCCAGCCCTGCTGTTCTCCTCTGGACCTGCTCCAGCCTCTCAAAGTCCTTCCTGTAGTACAGGGAGGGGGGGCCCTTCCCCGCCCGCCGCCGCCAGGGGGCGCCAGACTCGCCCCGCCGCAGGGGGTGGGCGGGGCTGTCCGCGCGCGGGCCCCACCCTCATCAGTGACGTCATGGGGAGGGACCGGCGGAGCGGAAGTGGAAGGTCTGGCGGAAGTGGCGTGTAGACGCCTGGCGGAAGTGAGGGCAGAAGGCCTTGTGGCGGCGGCGACAGCAGCAGCATTAGCATTAGCATTAGCATTAGCAGCAGTTTAGTGGCGGTTTAGCGGCAGCAGCGGCTCAAGATGTCGATCGAAATCGAATCCTCCGAGTACGTGTGGAGGGGGGAGCGGGGGGGCAGCAGCGGGGGGTCCGGGTGGGGTGGGGGGGGCCGTGGCCTCGGGGGACCCCGTGCGCGCCGTGCCCGGTCTGAGCGCCCGCCGTGTCCCTCCCCGCAGCGTGATCCGGCTCATCATGCAGTACCTGAAGGAGAACAGCCTGCACCGCGCGCTCGCCACGCTGCAGGAGGAGACCACCGTGTCCCTCAACACCGTGGACAGCATCGAGAGCTTCGTGGCGGACATCAACAGCGGGCACTGGGACACGGTGCTGCAGGCCATTCAGTCGCTGAAGCTGCCCGACAAGACCCTCATCGACCTCTACGAGCAGGTGAGCGAGCGCGGGGCTGGGCTGGGCCCTTCGGTCCCCGAGGGAGCCCCTGTGTGGTGCTCTCCACCTGCGCCCCGCTGATACTGACACGCGTGTCTTGCTGCAGGTCGTGCTGGAGCTGATCGAGCTGCGGGAGCTGGGGGCTGCCAGGTCCCTGCTGAGACAGACAGACCCCATGATCATGCTGAAACAAACCCAGCCCGAGCGCTACATCCACCTGGAGAACCTCCTGGCCAGGTCCTACTTTGATCCTCGTGAGGTATGTTGTGCTCTCTCAGAGACCTCCCCAGTGTCAGCATGAGTCGCTGATGGCTCAGGGAGTCTCTTTTCCCTATCTCTGGGAGTGAGAACCTGCAGTTTCCCAGTCTAAAGATTTTACATGTTCCATGAAGTGTTTAGGAAATGGCACTTGGCACATGATCACAAGGCAGCACCAGAGCAGTGGGAGTTTGGGGGTTTATACCTCTGTCCTGCCACAGGATGACATCTCCACCTTGCTTTCTCTTTCTCATGTAGGGCAGCACAAAAAAACACACCTTGTGCCATCAAAAATACTGCTGTGTAATAGCAAGGCATTATTTCTTACTGGTTATTTCAGGCTGATGATGTCAGTCTGATGTTTTTGATGAAGGCTTGTTGGGTTAACGGCTGACTTGGTTGGTAGCTTGATCTTGGAAGTCTTTTGCAACCCTGAGAATCCTGTGATTCTATACTCTGTGTTTCAGAGGTGGGCATTAAAGAGTTTTGGAGGCCTGACAGAAAATCAGTGTAGGAGGGGCTTTGGTTTGGAGCAACGGGGGGTTTTGTGGGGAAAAAAACCCAAACAAATTATGCTTTGGAATAATCACCTCATAAAAACAACTCTCCCCTAGGCATACCCAGATGGGAGCAGCAAAGAGAAGCGGAGAGCTGCCATTGCACAGGCTTTGGCTGGAGAGGTCAGCGTGGTGCCCCCGTCCCGCCTCATGGCACTGCTGGGGCAGGTGAGTCTTGGAGGAGCGTTTTGGTTGCTGTGTCAGCTTCCTTAAATCCCTGCTGCAGAAAGCTAGCTGTGGTGTGGTTGAGCCTCCAGCTCTGTAAAAGTGAGGTTCAGATGTCGCACGTTTACATGTGGTAAATAGTTAAAAAATAAGTTTTTTACGTGTGGTAAGGATTTAGCTGTTGTGGAAAAGTCTTCACTGCAGCAGGAGATTTCTTCCAGCAGAATAAGTACTCAGCACATAGAATGCACTTTGTAAATAACATTCTGTAACACACACTGTTCCTGCTCTGCTTTCAACCCTTTTTTCTCAGAATGGTTTTGTGGATACTCTGTGCAGACAGTGTTTCATATATCTTAGGTCTGTGTTCACTGATACCTAATGCTGTGGTTTTCAACTCCCCTAAAGGCACTGAAATGGCAGCAGCATCAGGGCCTGCTTCCTCCTGGTATGACAATTGACTTGTTCAGAGGCAAAGCAGCTGTGAAAGATGTAGAAGAGGAGAAGTTCCCCACACAGCTGAGCAGGCATATTAAGGTGATGTGTTTGCTTTTATGTGTGTTACTGCTTGCTGTGCTTTGTGTTGGAAGATAAGGGTAAATCTTCTGAATTCTTCTGTTCTATTTGTTGTAAGTCATCTCCCCCTCCTTTTCCCCTCCCCTTTTCTGCTGCATGCTTTGTCTCATCTTTATCTCACTTCATGAGAATCTGAGATAAGGTCTTTTAACACGTTTGAGTGCTTATGCTATTTGTGATTAAGATAAATATGCTGTTTCTTTGGCTTCACAGTTCAGAATCAATCAGTTTCCAGAAGTTTGCATAGTCCCCTTCTTTGTCTGTGCAAAGAAATACTCATGGCTTAAACTGTTATTTAGAAGTCACAAGTCAGAACTTGTGAAATCAATTTGTGGTGTCCAGTAACAGCTTGCTAAAAATGCTTTATTAGAACTTGTTTTATTTGCCACTGCAAATCTTGTATTTTTGTTTTAATTAATGAAGACTTTTTTTCTATACTTAGTTGTCACGGTCACTTGTATTTGAAAACTTGGAAAATTAAAAATAAGATATTAAAAAATATCAAACGTTCCCTGTAAAAATTACACTGAAGAAACATCGCCCCAAGTGAAGCAACTTGTACTGAGGAGCATTAAATTTGTGAATGCATTCCTGCAGAAAATACTGCATTTTTACCATCAAAATGAGACCGCAGTTTTGTTTTCATCAGTTGTTCTTTTTAAGTTGCTTATCAAGGTTTGCTTATGTTCTTCTATAAAACAGTTTGGGCAGAAGTCGCACGTGGAGTGTGCTCGGTTTTCTCCAGATGGACAGTACCTGGTTACTGGCTCTGTGGATGGCTTCATTGAAGTGTGGAACTTCACTACTGGGAAGATTAGGAAGGTAAGTTACTGCTCGTTTCACACAGATGGTTCATTTGCACCTGAATTTATTCTTTGAGATTATGATTATTTTCATTTATCAGGGAATATGAACCTGAGAAAGTTGTCTTCTTAGGCCATTCAGATATCAATCTGGAATATTTACATGGGTCTAACTATTTGGTCTGTCATACATGTCTCTCTGTGATAACTTTTATTATCTCTCTGCATCGTTGCTGTTGCCCTAGAATCCTGTCTTACAAAGCTGTGAGGTCTGCTTGGCGACAGGTTATAAAATGTAACTAAAGTTAAAACTGCTGTAGTTTTGTCCTTTGCCTAAAAATGCTCTGCTTTTGTTTAGGATCTGAAGTACCAGGCGCAAGATAACTTCATGATGATGGATGATGCAGTGCTGTGCATGTGCTTCAGCAGAGATACAGAAATGCTAGCAACTGGAGCACAGGATGGGAAGATCAAGGTACAAATCTTCTTGTACTGTGTGTTGGGAGAGACGATGACCAAAAAGATTATCTTGCAATCGCAGGAACGTTGCCATCCCACATAAAAAATAAATGGAGTTTGGCATGGCTCAGAAACAGATGTATATATTTACTTTGGTGTTTAAGCTCTGTGATCTCACAGCAAAGTAACCACTTTTATTTCATTTGCTGTTTTTCTCTTCAGGTGTGGAAAATCCAGAGTGGTCAGTGTCTGAGGAGATTTGAACGAGCGCATAGTAAAGGTGTTACGTGCCTCAGTTTCTCTAAAGACAGCAGCCAGATTCTTAGTGCTTCTTTTGATCAGACAATCAGGTAAGTAAACTGAGAATGCGTGAGCTACAGTGTGGGAGAAATGAAAATGAAATTTTCACATTAAGCAGCTAAACTATAAAGTAGTTTAATTTAGAAGGTACCTCTACAGATCTTTAGTCCACTATGTTTTTCAAAGTAACAATGAGCCTTTCAATTAGGGCAGCTTGCTCAGGGCCTTGTCCAGATGAGTTTTCAAAATTTCCATAGTTGAAGATCCTACTGCTGCTCTTGGAATTTGTCTAGGGCTCTACAGTTCTCTTGGGGAAAATCCCGTCTGGACATAGGGAAAGAAGTTTTGGGTTGGTTTGATAATGCTGTTTTTTGTTGTTTTTTTTTTGCTTTTTAACTTCTATCTTTTGCCTTATATACTTCAGCCATGGGCCTTTGAGAAGAACCTGACTCTGTTTATTCTGTAAAAACATGTTGGGTAGTGATGTTAAGCAAACAGTTACAAGTTTTCAGGTGTGCAGTAAGGACTTTTTTTTTTTTAATTTTATTTTTTTTTTTTTAAGCTAAGAGTCATTGGGTTAAAAGTAAGAATGAATATACTCACAAAAGTACTCAAACTCTGTTCTAATCTTAAGTTACAAGGCAGCAGCAACCTCATCAAACCCTTTTTCCTGCAGCTTTTAGCATCTGGGAAGTGTTGATTAATTTGATTAATGTTTGTGTAATGCAGTAGTTCTCATCTTGTGCCTACTTGGTGTCTTGTTACTGAGTGGAATTTGCTCACTGGTTTGCACCTGTGTTATCTGACAGGATTCATGGTTTAAAATCTGGGAAGACCTTAAAGGAATTCCGTGGTCATTCCTCCTTTGTCAATGAAGCCACTTTTACCCAGGATGGCCACTACATTATCAGCGCCTCGTCTGACGGCACAGTGAAGGTAAGGCAGCATTTACCCTTTGTGAATAACACATTCAGACTCTTGCTTTCTTCTAGCTGATTTGTTATGGTTGCTGCAGTCCTTGGAGAAGGGCTTGGGGTTACCTGCAGTAAGGATTCTGCTTGTGACCTTTGCTGCATTTGTGAAAGGGGGACATAAGTGCAGGATTCGCCTGCCTGTTCTGAGTTGACTGTGACACCTCTCGTCCTAGGATGAGGGGAATCCCTTGTCTGGAATAGCTGTATTTTCTCACTATGTTGGTCAGCTATTTGTTTCCTGGTGCTCAGGAGTCCCTCACTGTGTAAACTGGGTAATCTGACATTAATGATGATGGTAGAAGTGACAGGTCCAGCTTTTAGTCCCAGGAAAGAGTGTAGTAGTTAAGAGGAGTAAAGTGTCACTGCTTAAAGGGCATTACTGACTTATTTGGTTAATGTAGTTGGGTTTATAGTTATTTATTGATTAGAGCATCGATATAGTGCACTGAGGTTGGGCAGACAGATCCTGTTCATAGATGTACCCAGGAAACTGTGATAGATTTGCTCATATCAAATGGAATGTTACTTCAGACTTGCACCCTTTGCTTGACTGCCCCAGTCATGGGAATAGCATAAAAAGGTGGTTTCTTTTGATTGTACTAGTAGGTAAACAACAAAAATATTTCACAGGTGATGAAGGACTTTTTAAATATTAAACAAGTAGTTTCATTTCCTGTTTCTGAACAGCTGGTGTTGAGTCTGAGGCAGCTGCAATCTGGGATGTCCTTCCCACTAATAGCAGTAAGGCTTTGCTTTGTCTGCAGTTTTCATGTCAGTTTTGTGTAAGGCAAATTGCATATGCAGGGGTTATACATATATTCACAGATACCAGGTAAATCCATAAACCAAGTCTAGACTCACCCCACAGGGAAAATGCTTAAGGTAAGGGAGGCAGGCTGAATTTGGGTGATGGAAGTTCACCTACAGTTCAGTTGCACAGAAATTATTCATGGTGTTCACACTTCATAATATATGTGATAACTTCCTCAAAATCTGCATAAAACTACAACTTTTGGAATTCATGTTTCCCTCCAGGAGCCTTAAAAATTCTGGATTCTGCATCAGCTCATTCTTGGTTCAGTTTCTGAAAGCTAAATGGTTTTATATTTGTTTTTAATACTAGGTTTGGAATGTGAAGACGACAGAGTGCTCAAACACCTTCAAGTCTCTTGGCAGCACTGCTGGGACAGACATTACTGTGAACGGTGTCATTCTGCTGCCTAAAAACCCAGAACACTTCGTTGTTTGCAACAGATCGAATACAGTTGTCATCATGAATATGCAAGGACAGGTGTGTGATCTTACTGGCATCCTTTAAAGTTTCTCTGTCATTTCTAGAATGCAGAAAACCCTAGTTAATAACTTAATCTTGGGTTAGACCTGATTTCTCTGGTTTGCTTTCTGGACAAACTATTCTGTACTCAGTTTCTAGAATGCAGAAAGCACTTTAGCTGTGAAGAGATCTTGTGTTCTAAGCAGACCTAGTACTGCTTAAATATTTTTGCCCTGACTAGAGTAATGATGCTGCTGTTTAATCCTGGCAATTATTTCTGGGGGGGTGTCTTTACAGATTGTAAGAAGCTTTAGCTCTGGTAAGAGAGAAGGTGGTGACTTTGTGTGCTGTGCACTTTCACCCCGTGGTGAATGGATCTACTGTGTTGGTGAAGATTTTGTGCTTTACTGCTTCAGCACAGTGACTGGCAAGCTGGAGAGAACCCTGACTGTAAGTTTTTACCTTTTAACTTTTTCAGAGTCTAATCGCAAGGAGGATGTAAATATTCACCATGATGTCCATAAAAAGTAGTCTCAGACCAAGGAAGCAGCCACAATTTAATCAAACGTATTTCAGAACATTTGGCTGTAGAATGTGTTTGGTTTTGTAGAACCATTTGATTGTAAAAGTTAAAAAAACATTTATACCCACCAAGCCAGGAGTGAATTGGGTCAAACCTATTTGAATGGGAGCGTGTCTTGTCCTGGGCTCCAGCTGGTGGAGGATCTGACCAAGCTGTGAGATTTAAAGCTGTCAGGCTTTGAATTTGGCTTGGATTGAACTAAAGAGGAGTACCAAATTGAATGTCTAAATTTAACAGGGAACACTTTAAATTTTGTGGATTTCCATGGATGTAAACTTTCAGTGAGCCTTCCCTTGCCCAGCAAAAAGTAACTGCCATGTCACAAAAATTGTTGTGACCGGAGTTTGATGTTGGGGGGTATGTTTAAAGTCAGTCCAGCTTTCCTCTAGTTCTTGTTTGAAGAGAATATTTGCCTTGAATCTGCTAAAGGAATACTCTTCTGATGCATCTCTCCACTTATTCCCTAGGTTCATGAGAAGGATGTCATTGGCATTGCTCATCACCCCCACCAGAACCTGATTGCCACTTACAGTGAAGATGGGCTCCTCAAGCTGTGGAAGCCATAGGCGGATGTTACATCCAAGCTCTGAAGCGTGCCTGTTAGTTTCAGTTTATTATTGTTTGTGCTTTAACAAGATCTAAGTGTACAGAGTATGATACTTGCTCAGTTTTTAGTTCGGTTTTCCAGAGAATGACATTTTTACTCACCTAGAGTAGATAGATGCTTAAATACAGCATTGCTTAATTTCATATACTTATTTTTATTAGAATAGTCAGAGTGACTTCGGTGAGAGTGCTTTTTCTGTCTCCTGAAGTCTGTACTCTTCCTACAATGTTTGTAAAAGTTGAATGAGTCAGGAAGTAGACACACTTATGAGTGGTTGCTGACTTCCTAGAACACAGCAAAATGTTGGGTGTTTTTTTTGTTTGTGTGAGTAAAATGGGGAATGGGAAAGCTGTCTCTTTCCCACTGCTGAAACATAAGCGTAGCTTTTCTGGAACGCAGACCAGGCTACACTTCAGCTTGAAGACAAGGCCGTTTCTAGTCCATTGGGTTTTGCTGTGTTCAATTTTCACTACCATTTTTCCAATTCACTGGAAAGTAGTGTTACACAGCTTCCTCAGAAAGAGACTATGCTTCTCCATCTGCCAGCACTTCCTACTCTAAACTATAAACCTGCCTGATCTGGCAGTGGGATACAGTTTTTTGGTTTTTTTTTTTCCCTTTTGTTTTATTTCACTTCTAGATTAAAAGGTATAAGTACTCTCTTCTTGTAAGTGCAAAATGTCTTCAGACCAGCTGTAACTGAAACAGGCTTTAGGGGATCAATATTTTAAAAAATGCAAAAGTTGGTTTACATAGGCTGAGTTCCTAATGCTGTGATAATGCTTTAAATAATTATTTGTAAGATTTTTTTTTTTTCAGTTTCATATGCCTGTGGACCTAGTCGAGACGATTCTTAGGTCCCACAGATAAAAAGACACTTTCAGGTTCTTCATATGCTCAGTTTGGAGCGTAAGATTTTATGATTTGAGATCCTGTCTAATGCACACTGTTGTGAGTGTACACCAGAATCTGACCATGTCTTTTCTAGGACGCAGAAAAACAAGGTTTTTCCTGTAATGATGAGTGAAACACTTGGAGATGTGAATCTGTGTGCTGTGTTCTGTCCCTGTCTCTTGTAGAATGCTTTCCTACCACAGTAATCTTTTAAACAGTGATAACTTTTGTTTGATTTAATAAATTAGTTCCAATTCAAATATTTTGTCTGTGTCTTTAGTGGTCCAGGGGAATGCTGGAAAAGTTTGGCTGGAATTCTCACATAGCATTGCTTGTTCACTGCACTAATTAAAGTGTAGGGTTTAGTTCTCTGTTGAGCTGTGGTGTTTTTAATTCCCAAGTTGTTTTTTACTTACTTAGATACATCATTAGAGGTTTTTTCCAGATAGCAAGAAGTGGTTATTTTTCCTGCCTGAAAAGAAAGGAATAGCTGACAGCGACACATCTGACAAGCTCCACTGGCAGTTAGTACTTTTGGTACAGAACATCTTGACAAAATATTTCTACTACTATCCAACTTTTGTGGTTTATTTTGTCTTCAGATTACACAGGACTACTACTCCTCAATGAAAACTGTATCCTACATTGTTCTCTAAGAGAGAAGTAGTTCTAGCAGATGAAACTGTCAGAATCCGTAGGGTTTAAAGGTTGGAATACATTCTCTAGCTTAAAAATGTAAGACACTCTGGTGTTTCTTATGCTTTTCTTTGAAGAGTCTCAGTTTATTGCATTAAATTCTCAAGACAAAAAGGTGATATTTACCAGTACTTACAAAAGGGCAGTGATAAAACTTATTTCCTGGGCTATGGCTGTGATTTGTAAAATAGCTGACAGTTGGCACAAAAACGTAGTGTTAGTCTTGAAAGTGTTAATTTTTTTTTTATTATTAAAATGGAATTTTTTTACTGTAAATGTTAATTTTTTTAAATCTAGGAAAACATTTTCTCTCTGGACAACCAGCCAGGTGTTACGCCACTTACCTCTCTGTAAGACTAGAACAAGGCAACATCTAGTTCTTTAACTCATATTAAAGAAAACATTGTTCACCTGTGGGCTTTGCTTTGTTCTTGAATTGTTTTGTTTGGAAATGCCAAGTTCCGTCATACACAGAGGAGTGCAAAATGTTTGGGGGGGTGGGTCGTACCATGTAGCATTATTTCCTGTAGTTGTGCTCTGATACTGTTACCAGCTTGACATCCAGAAACAAAAATCAAACCCTCCGTAGTAAAATTTAGGGAGGCCACCTGAAAACCGAAGGCTTGATCTCAACAGCAGTGGTGGATTCTCTGTGAATGTCTTGTGAAGCAGCTGAATTCTCATGGAGCCTGAGAGAGCAGGTGGCCTCCAGGGCTGCCTGTCAGCCCCCATGAATCTCTCGATTCTGCATTTTGCAGAGGGTTTTGAACCACGAGCCTCAGTAGGGGGGTCTGTCTCTGATGTGAGTCACCTTGGCAGGACTAGTGTTTGATCTGTGCAAAAAGAAGGAAAAGGTGTTGCGCAGATTTAAAGGAAAGATGATGCCAGAAGTCAGCTATAAATGCATTTTGGGAACAGCTTTTCTTCACTTTCTGCCTGGTTTCTGTGTGGGTTTTGGGAGTCCTTAGGCATGGTTGCTCCATCTCCAGTTCCTCTTGATGTTGTGGACTCCTGTGTGTTCACTGGATAGCTGTAAATATGACCTTCTGGATAATGATGCCTTGTGAAAGACAGGCTGAGCAAACTTGGATCTCATTATCAGGAAGAAAAGCATAGGCTTTAGGTGAATCCTAAGGAGAAAGGTGGTTAAATGCCTTAGTTAGGGGGCAGAGTAGGAATTGTAGGAATTCTTAGACTCCTCATGGAACAAGAGATGGAGCCATAACAAATTTATTTTAACTTTTATAGTGAAAAAGAGTAATGAAGCCCTCTTCAGTTTCCTTATTTTCCTTAGGGTATAAAACTTCTCCCTGTGTAGTAACAAATTATTTTGACAACTGCCTTTGTTGAGCAGGAAATGGCATTGGCTTGTCTGGGAGCAGACATGTGCTGTTGGAAGCTAGTTAAGCCTTTTCTGTCTCCCCAAATTAAATGTCCTTGGAAGTCTTATTCACAGAATAACGGGATATCTGATGTTGGAAGGATGGAGACTCCACCACCAGTGCCCAGTAACCCCCAGTGAAAAGAGTTCCCAGATACTCAGAGGGAACCTCCTGTGTTTCAGTCTGTTCCCATGGCCTCCTGTCACTGGGCACTGCTAGGCAGAGCCTGTCTTCTGCTTTGCTCCCTCCCTTCAGGTATTTCTGCACATCAGTGAGATTCCCCTTAAGTCTTCTCCAGGCTGAACAGTCCCAGCCCTCTTAGCCTTTCCCCACAAGAGAGATGGTCCAGTCCCCTCAGCATCTTTGTGACCCTTTACTGGACTCGCTCCAGTACAACCACACCCCTCTTGTATTGGGGAACTCAAAACCACACACAGCATTCCAGGTGTGGCCTAGCCATTGCTGAGTAGATGGGAAGGATCACTTCCCTCCACCTACTGGCAACCAGGACAGCATTCATCTTCTTTCCAAACAGGGCACGTTACTGGTTCATGTATAACCTTGGTGTCCACCAAGACCCCCAGGATCCTTCTCTGCTGCTTTCCCTCTGAGTGCCCCTTGGCACGTGCTGTTGCATTGAGTTGTGTCTCCCCAGATGCAGAACTTTGCGCTTCCCCTTGAACTTCCTGAGGTTCTTGTCAGCTCATTTCTCTGAACTCTCCAAGTCTCCCTCTGGATGGCAACAGAAACCTCTCTTGTATCAGCTACTCCTCTGTAGTTTTGTGTCATCTGCAAACCTGCTGAGGGTAGTTGTCCAGTTGTCCAGATTATTAGTGAGGATGTTAGGAATGGTACCGGTACTGACCCCTGGGATCCACTGCTATTCACTGCCCTCCAACTCGACTTCGTTGCACTCGTCACCACCCTGTGGGCCTGTACATTCAGCCAGTTTTCAATCCACCTCACTGCTCATCTATCCCGTACATCAAAACTGCTCTGTGTGGATCTTATGAGAGACAGTGCCAAAGGCCTTACAGAGGTCCAGGTGGACAACAACCACTGCTCTCCTGTCATGCACCAGTTCAGTTGTTTCATTGTAAAAATATATCAGTTTGGTTAAGTATGACTTTCCCTTGGTGAAGCCATACTGACAACCGGATGGTTTTCTTGTTCTTGATGTGCCTGGAAATGGTTTCCAGGTTAGCTGCTCCATTACCTTCCAAGGGATCAAGGCAAGGCTAACAGACTTGGTTAGTTCCTTGGATTCTCTATCTTACCCTTCTCAAAGACAGGGGAGACATTGACTTTCCATGAGTCTTTGCGTATTTCTCCCAGATACCATGATCAATCAAAGATTGTCAAAAGGGGCCTTGCAATGACATCTGCCACTCCCACAGCACTTGTGGCTGCATCTCATTAGGGACAAGGACAGTTTCCTTAGGTCTTCCCTGACCTATCCTCTTCCACCAAGGGTACATCATCCTTGCTCCATATTTTCCCCTTGGTCTCTGGGACATGGGATTCTTTGAGGGCCTCCTACCATTTTTGCCTCACTTCCTGGTCACTGGAAGGGACTGCTCTTGAGCCTAGGGGAGGTGAGCCTTGAATTTAAACCAGCTTTCTTGGGCCCTTCTTCACTCCAAGACCTTATCCCTCAGGGTACTTCCAAAGCAAATCTACAGGGACACCAAAGTCTGCTCTTCTGAAGTCCAGAGCTGAAAACTTGCTTTTTATCCTCTTCCTTTCTCTCAGGATCCCGAACCCCAACATCTCATGGTTACTGCAGCCAAGGCTGCCTTTGATCTTGACAGTCCCAAAAAGGCCTTTGTTTTTGAGTATGAGGTCCAACAGAGCACCTGCCTATGTTCCTCTATCACTTGGGTCAGGAAGTTCTCATTGATGCACTCCATGAATCTCCTGGATGGAGTGCACCAATGTAGAATTTTTAGGTTTGGAAGGGACCTCTGGAGATTATTTAGTCTTCCCCCCCCCCCCCCCCGCCAAGGCAGGGTCACCTAGAGCAGGTGGGTTTTGAATGTCTTTAGAGAGGGAGACTCCATCACCTCCCTGGGCAACCTGTTCCTCATGTTGAGGTGAGTCAGCCACTCCTCAC